ATTAATAAAATAATAAATATTTATTATTTAATAAATTAAAAATTAATTTATAAAGAAATATTTTAAAATATTATAAATTAAAAAGGTTATAAATTAATTAAAAAACAGTTAAATTATGTGAAAATTACAAATGGTTGCGTGGCTATATCACAACCGTACAATTAGGTAGTATTAGTACTTCACCGCGGTCACGATGACTGCCACGCGTTCTCTTTCCTCCATTCCGCAAAACCCTCACTAAACTCCATATTTCTTACCTTCTCCGTCCCTTAAATGCTTTCATACTCATATGCATCTGGTTCATGGATATGGATTTTCCGTAATACAATCCTCTTCGCTTTCTGTGAAACCCTAGACGCCGCCCCTTTTCTTTCCATTCCTCGCAGCTGAGATTTCTGCTCTCTACACCCGGTTGTCCATCTTCAACGATGAAGCTCCCAAGATGCTGAATTTTTTTTACTCTCCGGTAAGAATCGTCTGCAGTGACACTGTATCCAGCTTGTGTGCTGAGTAATGTTCGACCTTTTTATACTGATCCATGTACGTTCCCAAATCTGGCTGCGCAAGAAGAAAAAAAACCCACCAAACCCATTTATCTCACTTTGTCAGGTAGTCTCCCTTTTTTATCTGTCGAATATCTGCAAGTGGTAATTTGTCGTCTCTTTTGATATAGATACAATTCCTCTCACCTGTACAGAACTCCAAAACCCCATTTCAGTTCTTTGATTTCCTTTCCCTTTCACTGCTTCCCTCCTTTTATAATTGTATAGATATAAATCACAAGTAGCTGGGATTTTGTTGTGCTTATCTGTCGCTATTTGTATTAGAGGTTTTGATAGGATTTGGGATGGGTTGGGATTAGTTTATGGGAAGAAAAGGTTTGTAGGGGAGAAATTACGATTTAGTGTGTTGAGAGAAGATCGGTTTCAAAAGTGGCGAAAATGAGTTTGGGGACGGCTGAGGATGATTCAGCGTCGGAGATTCATTTACCGGCAGACGTAGATTGGCATATGCTTGATAAATCTAAGTTCTTTTTCCTTGGTGCGGCTTTGTTTTCGGGTGTGTCGGCTGCCCTTTACCCTGTAGTAGTCCTCAAGACAAGGCAGCAAGTTTCATCTACCCAAGTTTCTAGCTTCAAGTTGTCTTTTAATATCATGCAGTATGAAGGATTGAGGGGATTCTACAGGGGTTTTGGTACCTCTTTGATGGGGACAGTCCCTGCTCGAGCTCTTTACATGGGAGCACTGGAGATCACCAAGAGTGGTGTTGGCTCAGCCACTGTCCGTTTAGGGTTTGCAGATACTACAGCAACTGCCATAGCAAATGCTGCAGCTGGGTTGAGTTCAGCCATGGCTGCCCAGCTAGTTTGGACCCCAATTGATGTTGTGAGCCAGAGGCTCATGGTACAAACTTGCAGCAGCAATAGCAGCAAAAATGTCATTTCTAATGTGAATTCTTGTAGATACAGCAACGGTCTTGATGCCTTTAGGAAGATTCTCTGTGCAGATGGTCTTAGGGGATTGTATAGGGGATTTGGGATCTCAATATTGACCTATGCACCATCTAATGCTGTTTGGTGGGCATCTTACTCTGTAGTAAACAGGCTCATTTGGGGTGGTTTTGGTTGTTACTTGGGTAAAAAGGATGAGTCTGATTCCATTGTTGGGTGTGGTGGCTATAGGCCAGATTCAAAGGCAGTGGTGGCTGTGCAGGGTTTAAGTGCTTCCATGGCTAGTGGTGTTTCTGCTATAATCACCATGCCACTCGACACCATCAAGACCCGATTGCAAGTTTTGGATGCAGAGGAGAATGGGAGAACAAAGCCATTGACTGTTCTTCAGACAATGAGGAATTTGGTTAGAGAAGGTGGTTTGTCAGCTTGTTACAGGGGATTGGGACCAAGATGGGCATCCATGTCTATGTCTGCAACAACCATGATCACTACCTATGAATTCTTGAAAAGACTATCAACCAAGAGCCAATAGAACCCAGCATCATGACTTGAGCAATCAAAGGAAGAATAGATAAGTTTCACCCACTTTCAAATGCCTCAAGTTTTTGTTAACATGCCAGGCAAGAAAGCTTACTAATGTAAAATTTTGAACTTAAAACATGTATAGTAGTACCAGCAGCTTTCTTTGTGCTCACTTCATCTTTTGTCTCTGTTTCCTCTATCCTATGATTATCCAGAGATGTTACTTCTCCAAAGGGTAGTGTTCAATATTTCATCTTTTCTTTGATCCCTCCTTGTTATGACTTTGCACTCTTAATTTTAAATTCCTTCTCTTCATTCAACGAAGGTGATAGAAGCAATTTTAAATCAAGTCTATTCATTCATTGTCGTCCCAATGGTCTTACCATATAAAGGCATGTGAATGACTCATACACATATCTTTCCTAGGCAAGATTATTTTTAGCTCATTTACTAATTTTTCTAATATTAACATCACAATATGTTTATTCTTATGATGTGATACTTACCACTGTCAAATTATACTTTGTCTTGACGAAAAAGGGCAAATTACCCTTATCTTCAAAGTTCAAAACACTTGGGGAGAAAAAACAGGAAATTCTAATATTAATTTGTTTCTTGGTTGTGTGAGGATAAATCCTCCGAAGTGTGGGAAGAACAATTTGTTTCATTAAAACAATGCACAAGCTCACATGAGATTATGGGTTCTTTAACGAATCTTTATTCTAATCCATAAAGAAACAATAGCAAATTAAATTCCAAATGCGTTATTTCAAAAGCAGAAGAAGCAGAGCATCTTCAAAAGTAGCAAACCCATCACGGTATCACGTGCCTCCTTTCAGGCTTTTCAGATGATTATAAACAAACTTAAAAGAATTTTCTGACCTAGCTCTGGTGGAGATGTCATGTGCTAGCCAAGTTATTATCTTATCCCATTTCTTCAGAATCAAACATGATATTCGCTTTCTTACCGAAGCTAATGTGCTCAATCATCTTTTTTTTTTTTGGGTATAATTGGGAGGTAGTCCTCTTTCTTCATTTTACACATATCAATTGTCCATTATATAATTCAAACACCAAAATCTTTTACTTTCATTAAAGAGTTTTTATAACATATAGTTTAAGAGGGTAATTGTTATATTTTTATATTAATTAATATTAAAAAAATAAAAATTAATTTTTATTTAAGTAATTATTTAATTAAAAAGATTTGTATAGTATTGATAGTGAAATTAATAGTAGTTTTTGTATTTTTAATATTAATTAATGTAAAAAATTTGTAATAATTATATCTTAATCTGCACTTCAAAACACAAGTTAGAAAAATTTATTATTAATTATACGTAATTAAGAATGTAATAAATATACATTTTCATAATAAATTTATTTTGAAAAAATAAAAATTAACATTTAATTTATTAATTATTTAATTAAATTCATCCACTTAATATTTATATTAAAATTAATATATTTTTTATATATTTATGACAAAAAAATTATTAAATTTTTTTTTGAACATTTTTGTTATGGGACCGGCTCAAACCGTTGTCTTAGGGGAGGGGGATATGAACCTTACAAACGTGGCTAGAGTCATTTTGCTCGAAGTCCAGGTTCAAAAAAAAAAAATTATTAAATTAATTAAATTATTGAAATTAATTTTAATATCTTAATGGATGGTGAAAGAGGGCCAATAAACAGCCGCCTCGATTTTTGATGGAAGCTGTGGTTGGTGGCGGCAAAATCATGGTGGATGATTAACAAAGCGACAGCCAGCCCAGCATGGAGTCATTTGTTCTTTCAAGGGAGGGAGTCGTGGGATACAATACCGGGGGCCGAAAGCTCAAAACCCATTTGCCCGTCGGTTTTCCCGTGGACCATCCGGCGCCATCCGGCGCTGCCAGTATTTTAGAATCTCTGTGGACCACCAGAAACGATGGGCCAATGGTCACTTTCTCCGGCAATTAATGTTAATTATCTACAACAAGGACACTTTTTTAAGTCTAATGTGTAGAGTATATGAATATGCAACTGGCATGGCAGCCGGCAATTTTCGTAGATCTCAACTCTAACAAAACCCTATTAGGTGGAGAAAGTCTTCGAAGGAAAGGGTGTATCGGGTTATAAGTTTTCCCATGAGATCCTTAGCTAATAGAAAACCCGTGATAGCACGAACAATTTTCTACAGGTTTCATGCGAGAAACTTAAAACCTAGAATGTATTACTTAAAAAAACATCTTAGTAATTCAAAATTTGAGTTTTCATATAAAAAATTTTAAATTTTAAATTTTGAAATGAGTTGAAAAAAATTTCAACATTAGTGATTCAAAATTTAAGTTTTTATATTAAAAATCTTAAATTTTAAATGAGTTAATGAGAAATTTTAACAAGTAAAAGCTATCCTTAACTCTAATTGCATATCTTTTCATTCGAAATAAAAATAAATAAATAAAAATAACTTAAAATTTGAAATGTGATAAGTTTGAAGAGTATTTGTTTTAATCTTTTGAAAATAATTATCAATTATTAATTTTAATTAAATAAATTAAATATTTGAAATTATAAATAATAATAATTATTAATTATTAAATATCAACTATAAGTTATATCAAAAAAACTAGATTCACTTTTTATCATGTTGCATTGAAGAATTTTAATGCCAATTCCTCATGGTTCCAATCCCAATCCCATGCAGAAGAAATCAAGCTTTAACCGTAACATATTTACATCCATATAGTTACCAGCATTGATTTCCATGTTGCGTTCCGAAGTTGGGCATTACATACTTTTAACAGTTGATGAAGCATGTCCCGTGGACTTTCTGGTGGGAGGATAAGGCGTTTCCATAAAAAACGAAACACCCCGAACATATTCGGTTAAGGCTCCATTGGACAACGTTTCACGCAACTCTTTTTCAACAACACTTTATCTAAAAATATAAATTTTTAATTTTTAAAATACTTTATTAATTTTAATTAATATTTTATATATTTTTATAACAATAAAAGATAAAAACTTTCAACTACCGTTACAATATTAGCAAACCAATCCTAAATGTAGAAGAAAAAAAAAATTATCAAGGAAAGAAGGAGCTACATGCATGTAACACGATTTTAACATTAACCGAGTTTGCTCAAGTTTTCAACTAAGAAAATGACAATCCAGATAATGATATAATAATTTCTGTAATTAATAGTCAGAAAGTTGGCAACCTACGCTACACATAATAATAATGAACGATGACTAAGAGCAAACCTAGATATGATGACTTCGAACAAACCCGAACCATTTGATACGGTTAGAACTCCATGGTGCCAGAATACACATTAACTTACCTGCCTGGCCATCACTAAGGCCGTGCTCTCTTGTTACTGCAGGTTGGGCATTTGTACTGCTTAATGTGCTCTGCTCTGGCTGGGGTAATCTTTACACACTTTCCATGGAACCATTTCTCACAGATGTCACAGCAAATCCAGAATTCATCAGATGAGTAGTTATCTCCACAAGCCCCACAGAGTGTATCCCCATGCTCCTCTTCATCTTCATCTTCTAGACCATCATCATCATCCTCATCACCATCCTTTGGCTGCATTGCCTTTGAATACTTTCCCTGAGATTCAGAACCACATTATATTATTCTCAACCAAAAAATTTTAAATCTAGTCATAAAACTTCCAAGGTGCCCGTTAATCATATTGATGATTCAAACAACCAATAAGAAATCACAGATGAGAAAATTAAGCAAGCAAAAGTCCCGTTTATACCTTGGAGTTAGATTTTGATTTGCTGTTGTTATGATTTGAAGCTGATGATTTCTCCTTTGTTTGTTTCTTCGGTGCCCCTGCAACAACCTCGAATATTGTTGGAAGATCATTTATCATATTGAAAAGACGTTTCCTGCAATGTGGCAGAAGGATATTGTTATGAAAAGAATAAAGCTTCAGTGGCAACATCTTTTACATAGCCAGGATTCCCTTCTTTCCTTGGCTAAGTATTTATACTATATTTTTAACTCCATAAGAAGAGAAAATTATGGATCACATCACAGCAATCATACTCTGGAAAATAATTTAAGAAATAACCAAATGATTGATTTACCAATCAGTGTTCAAATGATGAAATAAGCACACTATAAGAAACATCTCTCTCTGCAGAAAGCCAAACCATGAAACTAGATAGTGGGTAAAAAGAAAGTGTACCTATCAGCTTTCTCAAATCCAAATCTAGAACCAAAATAGAAGGCCACAGAAAGCAACCATGCATCACTGTGCACAGCAACCAAGGATAACCAGTCCTTTTCTCGCATTCCATCTCTGGCAAAGTTAATACCCAATGCAGGTTCTGGGAGCTCTGGAGGCACCTCTTCAACAGGTAAATTCACCTCCCACTGCTCACTGGGAAACCCATAGAGGCAAAGATTTTCCTTTTCTGTAATGAAAAATTCAGTATTGTACTAAAAATCATTAAAATGCTTGCATAGAGAAAATAATAAAGCATATGAAGCCGCTTATGACACAATGATAAACAAGGGCGGACAAACTGGTTGGACAATATTTTGAAAGTGAATTACATATCAAAATTCTCCTATTAATGGGATAAGGAAGCTTTTAAGGTCTACGAACAAGATTCGCAAAGGGGTATGAAGACAACAGGAAAGAAACTAATCTCCATTTGATTCACAGAAAATGATTTCCTAAAAATTATAAGTAATACATAACTCATAAATGTATACTTAAAAGAGCACATTTGAGAATCGTCTGCTAGATGCTAGATCCTAGATCCTATCATGCTAGAAGTAATCAAAGTGCTAAGAAATAGTCTTAAGATCGGCAATCACATTTGTTCCTATTTTACAGCAATCACATTCATTCCTTGATGGATAACATGTCTGGCTGTCAGCAGTATAAACCAAATTAAACGCACATTTCATGCTTGCTAGACACATGGTGCACTGCATCAACATTAAAAAGAATAGTTTTGACCTTGTTGAAGTTCTAAGATGGATATCAGCCTACCACTATACAATAAACCAAATTTATAAATATTTTGGATGAAAATCTGATGGCATTTGCCCACCAATTCTCAAAAGCAATATAAATACTTCTTTCTCCCTTTGTTAAGGTTGCATTTGGCAACAATTTGGTTTTTTGTCATCAAAATTTTGTTTACTTCTTCTATTTCTGAAAACTAAAATGAAATTACTCACTAATCTAAATCTTTTAATATCAAAAGGAAGGGACAGAGGAAAGAGAGATTGTTTATGTAAGTCATTATTATAATGGAAAAAGGTGAAAAGAGTTGTTTGATTCTTTCCAGAAAATGTTGAAAACATAATTTAGACATTTCACAAATTCAGGGAACTTCAGAAATGTTGCTGGAAATTGGATACATAAAAACATTAGAAAACTCCACCTATCAAAATATCCAAAAACAAAATTGTAAAAGCCAAAACCAAATGACAAACATAGATGCATCATTACTGCCTAGTCATTTTCAACATCCCGATGCAACTAATCTTCTGCTACTATTATTTAAAAAAAATCCAGTCATAGATTCACAGGTGACTTTCACTTTGATGATACAAAACTGGGAAGGATGCACAAATAATCTAGAATGTTAATACTTGACATGAAGGACTAGCAAATTATTTCTAAGATATAAGAGTCAAATCAAACGTTCCCATCAAATATTTCCAAAATATATACCTTGCTTAACTTGGCTCCACTGACAAAAAGCAAAATATTTAATTTTTCCAATTTTATTCTGCATAATTTCAAATTCAGCAGTAAAATATACTGTTAATTGACTTCTAGTTAGATGTTGCCCTTTGATGGAGGGGTGGGTCCACAGTATCAAGAACCTGCCTCCTCCATTCATGGTTAAACAAAATGCAGTCCGTGTAGGACGGACTGCACTTCGCTTTTCTATAATAATAATAATAATAAATGGGAACTGCAAAACAATTATGCATTAATGGACTGGTGGGGCCCACTGCAAAACAGTAAACGGTAGGCCCCAATTCCGGGCCCACTGCAAAACAGTAAACGGTAGGCCCCAATTCCGGGCCCACTGCAAAACAGTAAACGGTAGGCCCCAATTCCGGGCCCACT